ATCTATAGCATCCAGTAGAAAATTAAACTGAAATGAATTAAGAGTTATTTTTAAAAAAAAAAAATAAAAATTGTTTGTGTTTTGGGAAGTACACTATCTGTTCACAGAATTTCAAGGCAAATCTTTGTGTTTAGTTTGCTTAGAGATGCTGTCTGCCATGAAGGATAAGTCGCCACTACAACACGTGCACAACGCTAAATACGAAAAGTTTATTGAAATTGCAAATACATAAACAGTGACTTTTTACCAGAACCACAATCCTGCAGGAGTCTGCACTCAATAAACCATGCTATGCGCTAAAGCTCACTAAAGTAAGTGTTTTTTAAAATTTCTTTAAAACCTTTTGATTTTCTATTTATTAGACAAAAGCACAACTTTTATACATGCATTTGAGCATGGAATATGTTAAGTTATTGCACTGTATATTGGTTTAATAAACACACGCACACATCTATATTATATATATATATATATATATATATGTGTGTGTGTGTGTGTGTGTGTGTGTGTGTGTGTGTGTGTCCCTCTGGTAGTGTAGACAAAAAAATTGTGCCCCGTTCAATCATTTAAGTTGCTCATCCCTGCCATAAATATTGAATTATAATTTTTACAACTATTGCATCATAACCTATCTGTACTTTCTCTAAAAGAAACTAAAAAATCTGACAGTTTTCTGTTAAAATACAACCATAAAAAAAGTATATTCAGTGACTAGTAGTGCCAAAAATCTAATATCACTGAAAAACTGTAAAAATTACAGCATTCTATTTAGATTTGCCTGAGAGGTCCAGTTTTACAATGGGTATCCAGTCATCTGACAAATAGGAAACAATTTGTGCAAATGGATAAAATAAGATCTAAATTTGATAACATTACGTGTGGGGTCCCACAAGGTTCTGTGCTTGGAACAAAGTTGTTTCTTTTAGACATAAATGATTTGGTTAATGTGTCGGGGTTGTTTAAATGTGTTTTGTTTGCAGATGATACCACATTTTTTTGTTTGGAAAAAAAATTAGAACGAATGCTAGAAATAATGCAAACAGAATTTGTAAAAATACAGACTTGGTTTGGGCTTAATAAATGGTCTTTAAATTTGGAAAAAAAAAAACAAATTATATGATATTTAGTAATATAAGAAAAATAGTTGATGCTTCATTTAAAATTGATGGAAATGATATTTGTAGAGTGAGTGAGGTGAAATTTTTGGGTATAATTATTGATGAGAACCTGACCTGGAAATCTCATATTGATTATTAGAGAACAAAACTAGCAAGATCTATTGCTGTACTGTATAAAGCAAAGGAGTTATTTAATGAAAAAGCACTACTTATATTGTATAATTCTATTGTTGCTCCACATTTGATTTATTGTGTTGAGGTCTGGGGGAAGGCATGCAGAACATTTACAAATTCTATTTTTATTTTATAGAAAAGGGCCCTAAGAATCATTACAAGAAAACATTTCAGTAATGCATCTAGCATATTGTTTCAACAATTAAAGTTACTGAAGTTTGACGAACTGGTTGATAATGGACTTCTACAAACAACGTTTAGAGCTCATTCAAATGTTTTACCTGGGAATATTCAATTACACTTCATAAAGAGAGTCAGTAATTATAATCTCAAGGGACTGGAATTGTTTGTAAAGCCTAAAATTCGAACAAGTTTGAAGGAATGCTGCATGTCTGTACAACGAATTAGACTGTGAAATGTTCTTGATAATGATTGTAAAAATGCTTCRTCTATGTWTGTGTTTAAGAAAAAGGTAAAMATTAGTTTATTGAAAAAAATATGAAATTTCATAGTATATTTTCTTTGGATCTTCTTTTATTTAATGATTATTAGTGTTTTATGGTATTTTTATTCAAATGTATTTTATTTAATCCTTGTTTGAAAAGGGGCAGATATAAGTTTTTTTTCTTCTTTCTGCCACCTTTCATTTTCTTTGTAAATGTTTTTTTTGCTGTTTTGAGGTTTGTTTTGTTTTAAACTGAAAATGAATAAATTTATTTGAAAAAAAATTAAGAGGCAAAAGACAAATGTGTGAAAAGCCAGAGAGAACACAAAGGTAAATAATTGAATACCAGTGTAGATCAACACAAAAATGTAGGAAATTCCTTTCTAAATCAGGAAATCATTCCACTTGACATTTGAGTCGTAGCCTCATCTTCATCCCAGCTAATGGGCTCTCATACTGAGCTGTCACTCTTAGCCTCCCACACACAGCAGCACAGAGCTTATTACTCTTCTACTTCTTCATCATTTCCCCCCACTCCCCATCACTACAGTCATCCGTATGTTCTCCTGGGCCACTTGGTTTATCTGTCTGAGACTGAGCAAGGCTTTGAGGCCTTTTGTGTCATAATCTACTGTAGACTCACTGTTGATCCTTAAGGCTGTGCTCAGACCACATTTATAAATCTGTTTTTGACAAGAATACAGTTTTTTCTCCTAATATGTCAGGTTTTTTTGCATTGTTTATAATAAATAAATATCAAGATTACACAATTTTTAGTCATTTAAACAACTGTGTGTATTTTACCTCCATCGGGTCCTGGGTCAGGCGAGCCGATGCTGATGCCCCCCCAATTGTTCCCAGACCAGCCTCTTTCTCTTTTGAACCTCGTTTTACCCCTTTTCATGAACTCATCCCTCTGACGAACTACAGAAAGACAAAGCCAGTAAAAGACAAAGAAACACTGACTTTCAGGAGCACAACATGTCAAATGTGTTCTTTATCTTTGTCATTAACCACGCTATTAATGTTAACAAATGAGATCACAGTGGAAACAAATTGGCGGCTTCTTACATCAGTGGTGCTTCAATTTCTCAAAATTAAGACCTCATTTCCCCCTGCCGTTTAAACTCTGTTCATGAAAAGGTAATTTATTTAGAATTAAATCATTTATCCTCGGCTTGAACTCTCAGACCAAACAAATACAATATCTAGTTAGAGTAGCCGGGGTAAAAATATGTCACATGAGTTTGTTATATTAAATTTATAATATATCTACATTCAATGTTAGAGCCTAGCTGACTTTTTAAGCCTGGTTATACAGATTGAAAAAAAAAATCTGTTTGTGTTTACAGAGTTTAGCTTGGGCTTCCTGTTGTTCAGCTTCACTTCTTCTGCCAATTTTCTGTGCTTCACCGGACTTATGGGCAGGCATGTTTAGACCAGGCCACAGAAAACCTCCACGACCTACAGGTGGAAAACAGAGAATCATAAAAGGACAAAATGAAAACATTAAAGTAGATATTTTCTGCTTTTAAATCCTTATTTTTCCACATATAAATCATTCAGTTGGGGGCTATATAAAGTTGAACTGAAATGCTTTGGTCTGAATTCCTCTTGATTGTGACTCCACAAGCCAAACTTTCACTGCTTCACACCCTGCTCCCCTCCAGCTTCCAGACTGGTCCACTCTAGTTTGATAGAGGGGTTTATAATTATATTATGGAGCAGAAAGATTGTATTTACAAAAAAGATGCACAGATATGAAAATTTCAGCCAATAATACCAACCAATAATAACACTGCTGTTATGGACGATAACTGTTAGTTACCAATATTACGCCACACAAATTTATGTTACTATATTCCTGGCTGTGCAGCATCACTATCACTATCATGATAAAACAGAAACCACTCGAACAAACGTTTCCCCTCTCAAAACAGAAACAGCAACATGCAAGAAATCAATATCGGACGTCAACATCGGCCCAGTTTTAGTTTAGTTTAGTTTAATTCATTTCATTTAAAAATAAAAATTTTATACACAAAAAAATTTTTTTTAAAAAATCACACTTGAAATGAAAGGAGGCAGAAGAAGAAAAAAAATCTTATATCTGCCCCTTTTTTTCTAAAGTTAATTTCAAGCAATAATAATCAAGAAAAAAAATTAAAACTTCAATTCCTTTTCAAACAACAACTTTTGATCCACATTATACAATTTCATATTTCTTTAACAAACTTAATTTGATCAATTTTACTTATCGGACCAAACTACTTATGTTAATGCCAATATATTGTGCATCCCTAATTTACAAATTAATTAAAAGATAACAAGGGAAGACTTGTCCATCCAGTCCTACATGATGGAGTCAGAGTCTGACCAGTGCGAGATGAGAAAGAAGACAACTAAATTGTAGTTAGTAAGTTCAGACCTTAGAGCAGTCCCATCACAACTACTGTGACATTATTTAGAAAACATCATAGAAAATAAAGAAAACTGAGCAGGTTGAGAATTATAACCCAAAAAGAATATAAAGACATCTACACAGCACGGGGAGAAACTCAATTCTAATTTTCTTCACTCCTAAAATCTTGCACAATTTGTTAGAGCTTGGAGTGTGTGTTGGAGAAGGCACTCAGCTAATTACTGAGGTCAGTTGGCTGTTGTTGCCATCTTGAATTGGGGTGACTACAAAAGTTAATCAGTCCCAGATGCAATGATTAAAGTTCTGAGAATTTCAATGGTTTTTGAGACATTTTGCAAACACTACAGACAAAACGTTTTGCCTTTTGGCACTGGGCAATGAATAGGACCAATAGGAGTTATCAAGTAATATTCTTTGCCTTTGTGTAAAGAGAACTAAAAAATGAGGAAAAAAAAAGATACACTTAAAAAATAATTAGTGCAAAATCAAGCTTTATGGCTTACTTTATACGCATTATAAAGTTGCAATTTAAAGATTTTCATAGAGCAGACAGATATTTAAACTGGAGAAGAAGAAAATGGCTCAAAATCATAAATGAGAGCTGAGTGATTCGATTCTCTTCTTTAGCAAAGCTGTTTAATGAATTATTCACCTCTTGGTTATGAATATTCTAGTGTGTCGTGTCAGTCAGCTGCTTGTTAGCATTAGTTTGATGTCCATGTGACAACTTTTGAGAGGCAGGGATCAAGTTAACAGCAGAGGAGAGGAAATTATTACACTCAGGAAAAAAAAAAGCCAGCAAACTTAGAAAATAAGACTTAACCAATCTAGAGCAAATATTAACTTTACTCAGGTTGTCCAAAACAAACATAATCCAGAAAGGAACAGATGGTGTTTCACCTTCTCCAATATTCTGTCCTATGTTCAGGTTTGCTTTCAATCTGCGTTTTGATCGCTTCCCTCTGCCCTTCCTTCCTCCGGCACCAGAATCTGCCAGCACACCTTTCCATATCTCATTTGCCGTCACTGTAAACACATACAGAAATAAAAGACAAGAAATCAGATTTGTATCTTACTTTTTTTCTGCAGAAAACAGAACATCCCAAAAAGACATATGGCTGCTGCAACATTTATTGCTTCTTAAAGCTCATTCAGAGATCATTGGTCTGTTTTGTTTTAATGTTCATGCCTTTTTAGCCAGAGTACAGGTGTAAATTATGCTATTTACACAAGGTTTGACCGTACATTGAATGACATTTATTACAAGACTCTGCATAGATTTAATTTTCGTACAATTTATCAAACCAATTCAGATTTGTGTGCCAAACATGCAGTGAGCATGAGTATAACATGAAAACAATTCAAAATGACTCATTTCTAAAGGTTTAGGCTGACTGGACAGCAAGGATTGTACTCATGAGAGATCAACTGCATTGCAGTCGCAGTAATTATAATTATTTTTAGAAAAATAAAACTCTTTACTGCCCCAGAGGACATGACTGGATTCACAGCCACTACGATGTCAGATGAGAAACAAAAACGCCTTCTTAAAATATGTTTTTTTTTAAACAGAATCTAGGGATTCACAGATTTAAAGAAAACACTAGAATAGTGTTTATGATGGGAACATGCTAGCAAGTGACAGAAAAAGGTCAACCACGACATACAGGAGTGCATAAAAAGGTTACAAACGCTCTGTGCTACACCTGAGAGAAAAGGAACTCTGTCTGAAGATCTGTGTTAAACCTGAACGATGAAAATAAATAAATTAAATAAAATGTTTCTTTCAGGGAAGAAATGTGATTCCAGGGTCTGAGTCTGTGTCTCCTGACAGGTTCTTGGTGTTTGTGCTGTCCTGTGAGTCACACATGTTGACAGAGTCACAAAACATTTAACTCCCTCAGCCTGGACATGAGTAAGACTGGAAAATAAGAAGCCGTTATGAAGGATGGGAAGCAGAGAGAATGCTTGCCTGAGTACACGTTTTGACAGCGGAATATAAAGCTTACTTTAAAACTGCCATCAATCTGAAATGATGCTCACATGTACCTGCTTTTTTTGAGGAGACAAATCCTTTAACACAAACACAACTGTCACCATCAATGGTGTGCAAAAAAAAAACAAAAAAAAAACAATGGCTTCATATCAGCTGACATAAAAGCTTCTATGCTTTTTTTTAAAGACACTTTATACTTTACAGCCTGGCTGCTGGGATTAGATCAAAACATCGTCAAACAGATAAGACATCAGACGAAACTGTTTATCTTTTTAATATCTGTACAAATATGAAGAACTGCGACACAAATCTGTCAAACATGATGATATCTCACAAAATAGAGAATCATACATATAATCATGTAAGTTATGTGCAAACCTGTCTTTCAATAAATAAATACTAATAAAAACATGCTATAAGTCCCCCCCCCCCCATTTTTTTTTACATGTGCTCAAACTTGTTTGTGTGGTTTACCACGATTACACATTTTGGATATTTCTAAACAGTATCAATTTGAAATATTTCCATCATGTAGAAATAAAATAATAAAAGCAACAGAGTATCATTTGCGTCAAGACTTATTTGTGCTTTTCAAAGACTTATTATCATTAAAAAGTAGCTTATTTTGGTTCACAGCATGTTGAAAATGATAATCAACTTACACTTGTTGAAGAAGCTACTTGATCTGCTTTGCTGCCATGTTGTTGGTGGGATCAGAGGAAATGTGGGTTGTCTCTGCAGAGAGGCAGCTGAGGCTCGGCTTGCCAAGTGAGACATCTGGACAGCGGCCCCTGCGGTACGCAGTGATGTTGCACCTTCAAGAGACAAGCACCATGTGAGTATTCAGTTTTCTGAGTTGTTCTCTCACTCTGTTAAATTCCCCAAGCATGTAATTATTAAAGACAAAAGTTAAACCTATCTTAATGAAACTGTTCTGTATAAATATCCTTCAACTCAATAATTTAGTGATTTTAAATGCAGTATTGTAATCCTAATCTCTAGTTTTCACTCATGTTTTCACTTAGCTTAGACAAAATAATGTCACTGCTGCAGCAGCATGGTAACACTTCTAGTTCAAGTTGGTATAAAGGATTAACTAACTTGTATGACTTAATGGTCCTAAAGTATTTTTAAACAAAGCCCAGCTCTTTTGAAAGTTTTATTTCCTATAAGGTCAGAGTAGCAAGAAGAATACTGTGCATCAGATCATTTCATTGCAACATTAAATTTGTTTTTAATAATTAAAAATTTTCCAGGTCAAGTGTTTCTTTGATGATTAAGAACTAGAAAAAAGAGCAAGATCCTATCTGAAGGTATCTTAAGTCATCTGTATCACAACTACAACCTTTTAATGTTTTATTGCTGCTAAAAACAATACCTTCGGAAAAAATGTCAGATGAAAACTCAAATTATATCATGTTTTATTTTGGGGTTTAAAATTAAGTCTGTGAAAATGACAACAAACACCATATAAATATATCTAAATAATTTGAATAAAATGCACCTATCATTTGGGAATGTAAAAAAAAAAATCCTCGCGTGGGATAAGCAACACAGTGTTTGAAAAGTCCTAAATGTTGAAGAAAACTTCATTAAGAATCACTAAACTCAAGAATGCATGCATTCTTGACAACTTCACAGATGCAGAGGCTTAACTGCAACGATAATAACTAGCAGGGATGAAAGATGTTTTAAATCTACATCATTCAACAAGTATACGATAGACGAATTTAATATAGTCAACAATCAAAGGGAAAAAAAACATTACTTTTAATCAATGTTATGTACAACGCGTGACAGCTCGGTCGGGCTTTGCAGTCAATGCATAACTCATTGTCGGCAACAATTAGACTCATTTCCCTAAACACAAAAAAAAAAAAACCCTTTTCAATTTCCATCCAAACTGTAATAACAACATAACTGTATATAAAAGCAAAACAAAATCATTTCACCTCCAACTGTGAGCCGGAGGACACCGCAGACCCGCACGAACGCCGCCATGTTGAAGTTAAGAAGGGTCCTTCGGAACACTGCAAGGCGACTATGCTTGTGCCTGGTGAAAAATGTAGAGTGACCGAAAACAAAAGCGTTTGTTTCATTGACATATGTGTATTCTGTATTTAAATTTTCTAAAATCATTTACAAAGAAAAACAACTGAATAATTTGCAACTTAAAGGCAAAAAAAGCAACCTTAAATAATACCTGACAATAAAAATCTGAAAATAATGTTTGAAATATAAGCATATTTTGTAGCTATTTTGTGATTTAAGAATTGTTTCTGTCTTCATTGCTTATTTCCCTCTTCCGATTTGTATTTATTATTATTATTATTATTATTATTATTATACACATATTTGTTTTTGTTACCTCAATTTCATCACAACATAAACACCTTCAGCATCTAAATGTTGCATCATTTTTCAGTGTCTTTAGATTTGAGTGAGTCTTTTAGCAGTGGTTATATTATCATAAATGAGCTGTCATTGCTGCAATTTTATCTGTGATTGCACACTGACTTGCATCACTGAATGACAGCCACCGTGTGAATACTTTCAGCGTGACACATTTGCTTTTTCCTGAATAATTGGATGATTTATTA